CCGGCGGGGAGGGGGGGTCTGCCACTGATTGGCCGCGGAAAGAGAGCGTGTCACTAGGTGGCCTATCAGAAGCGACATCCGGCTACAGAGTGACAAGGGCGGGGCTGACCCTTGTCAGGAGACAGGGGGGGCAGGGGCAGGGGTAGGGGTGGGGGTGCTGTGCTGTGCTGTGCGGTCCGGGCTGTGGCAGTGTCGTCCCGGTCCTAGCTTGTTTCCTCAGGAGCAGACACGGCATCAGGCGGCTGCAAAGTTCGGGGTTTCCTGCTTCGCAGCCCCCGGCAGCTGAGAGGGAAATGCTTTGGAGCAGTGGGTCTAAGCACAAAAGGGCCTGATCGCTCAGCCGCTGGCTCTGTGATACTGAATTATAAGAGTATAGTAATACAATTAGAAGTCAAATAGCTGGGAGAAAAGAATTGGGTTCCAAGTAAATTATTTCTCTACTAATGATCTAATTAGGCATGGCCGTAGCACCACGATATGAGTGTCCCATTGGAATAGGTATTGTGTGAGCATAAAGAGACCACCCTTGTTCAAAGATGGCAGGCTAAGACAATGGGAAAAAGAATAAATAGTTGCAAAGGGAATCTCTGAAAATTCAGAGGCAAAGATTAGCTGTCTCCAATATGCTCTGACCCTGAAAAATAGCTGAACAAGGCTCTGACTGCTTCCAGGTTGGATATATTACAAGTTGAGAAAAATCGCCCCCTCCAAAGAACAGATCGGATCTGTACATCAGTGTGAGACCCCCCCTGCCCCCCCCCCCCATTAATAAGCTTTCTTGTATTAGAAATATGGAAACCCTTTCTGAAATTGTATTGAAACTCTTATATTGTTAAAGACAACAGGTGATATTCCATTTCAGAACTGTTTCCTGTTTAAGGCACAGTTAATGTTTATATCTGTTCTTACAGACAGTGTTTGGTGATAATAGAATGTTATAAGACTTGAGTTAGCCTTTAACACTAAATACTAATTATTCAGCTTCCTTGTACCTGTAGTAAATGCAAGATATTCCTTTTAGAAAAAGAAGTATCCCAATTGCTATGGAGTAGAAATCTTGAGCTTTTACTGGAGCCTGCTGTAGCAATACAGCAGCCCTTCACAGCAAGCAAGCAATCAGTTGTCAGTTCATATTTCTTTCTATTCATCTGTAACTTTAAACAGAATAAATCACATTTTCAGAAGTGTCTGTAGCCTGAGTTACACTTTCAAAAATGCTGTAGGCACTTAAGTGCTTAATTCTCAATGTCTTTCAGTGAGATTTAGGCTCTTCTTTCTCTATTGTTAGGTTTTCTCAACTGATCCACATGTGTATTAGAAGCTGCTTTTGTTTTGAACAGGCTAGTTCATGAAGGCAATGCTATTGGCCTCAATGACAGGGATCACCTGTGCTGTGTAGCTACTTGCTTCTTCAGAGGTTGGTCAGAAAGGGAATTCTCTTCTGATTTTCCACAGCACTAGGAATTAAAACTGGGAGTGCAACAATTAATTAGCATTAAGTTTAGAACCCAGGACTGCCTTGAGGTCCCCTGGAAGCAGAGAGGTTCTGTTGCTAGTGGCTCTCCTCTAACAGGCCCTGGATATAACCACAGTCACAGTTACTTAACTCCTTTCTTATTTTTGAGGTGAAGAGCATTCATTTCTAAAAAAACCCAGGACAGCTTCCTTGTTCTGAAGCTACTAAGCAGGGAGTCTCTCTCATTCCTTATTCTCATTCAGTTTTCTCATGCAGTCTGATCTAACACCATGGTAGTCAGTGGTACAATGCTGATTAATATCTATCAGACCAGATCTCTAGTATGGTTTAAAACAAATAAAGCAATGTATCAGCAGGGACAAAGCTTATTTCCTCATGTGTATTATTTATCTTTTCCCCATTTCATTAGGTGCTCAGTTTTCTCTGGCAGCCATTTCCTGTTTCCCTGAGGCACAAATAAGTTGACAGCTGATGTCTCACACTTATCCATTGCATGTATCATTTGTAGTATTGTCATATTTGATTCTTATTTTTTCTTTCTGATAAGCTACTGAGAGTCACACTGGAATGCTGTGGGTGGGGTATCCAGGACATCTTCCCTGCCTCCTTCTGTCAAACTCCAGAGAAGTGGCTCTGGCACTGGGACATGACCCCACTCAGACAAATGAAAAAATATAAATGGAGTGAAATGAACCATCTCTCACTCTGACTCCATGAACCACTCACAGCTATTCAGTACATAACAGAATACCTGCAGGTGGTGTGTTCTATACAGCATAGCAAACATTCCAGCACAGAGCACCAAAACAGTAGGAACAGCTTAAACAACTACAGAAGAACTGTTGTCCCTTGGTCACTTTGTCCTCATCAATCAGTTAATGGGTTTCTGCATGCTTAATGGGTCTAGACCTGCATCCAACTCCCTCTTCTTCCCTAGAGGTTTTCTGTGTTTTATCTTTCTCTGCACAGGTTGCTGTGTAGACAAGTCAAGTCAGAGCTGGGATATCAGGGCCCTTCAGATGCTTTCTTTGTACTCCTACATGCACTTGGTCCATATTGCCACAAATCAGGAGACCCAGCACAATGAAAAACAACTGTAATTCATAGGATATGTCTGACCTCTAATGGTGGTTAAAGGGGCCATATTCCTATATGTGGAGGCACTTGATTTCCTATGGAATGAAAGGAAAGTGCTGTACTGGTTTACTATTTTTTATGGTTAATATCCCCTTTGGGAACCATATTATATATGCTACTATTATGTGTGGCCTGTCTTTCTCTCCTCATATAGTGAAGGTCACTTCCTTATGGACATTCCTTCTCCAATTAGCCCCAATATGTCCCTCTCCATGTCTCCTCTTTTTAATCTTTGGAAAAGAATGGATCTCACAAATTTCACAGTCCCTAAGAGTCTTTATAGTACATTCTCCCAAGGGTGTTTGCTTTGCAGTCTAGCTATTCACCATCAGAAAAACTTACAAAAAGTGTGAGTAAGAGCACAGCAGTTGGCAGTTAAGGTACAGGTAATATGAACAGCAGATCCATTATCAGTTATCACTCAGAGGGCATAACCAGGGCATGTCCAGAATATGTCCCATTGGGCCTGAGGATATACACATTTCTGCAGTGATGTGGCACATTCATCCTATCTGTATGCCTGGGGAAATTACAAGGTGTGAATGTTTTGCAGCTGAGCACACTCCCTCCCCTCACATTTCTAAATAATGGTAGTTTCCATCACAGAGTAAATAGGATAATGTTGAGCACAACCTCCAAAGCTTCCCATGTATTCCTAGAGCCCAAGCACTACTGTGATACATCTAAGCTCCCCCTTTGCCACAGAATTTCTGTGGTTGGTACCACAAGAAGTAGCCTTTGTATGCTGGTCTTATCCATATTAGGCATACAAGAAGAAGTAGGCATTTTGCTCCCAGGGCATGATAGAGCATCCCCACTTTGCAGTGGCAAGGCTACAGCCCAAGTATCAGAAAGAGCTGGATGCCAAATACAGGTAAGCCAGTCCATAAATCTAGCTGGGGAAACACACACGTAAAAATTCATATTGTGGGAAATGGCTCTCTCTCTATTCTTGACTCATTAAGATCTAGAAGGTCCATTTCTGACTTGTCCCCTATGGCCTGGAGAAGGAAATCACAACTATACTGTGTATTTATATATAAACATCAGCCCTCTCTTTTTCACTGTAAATCACAAGGGGGCATTTTTAATCTACATAGTGACAAGCCAGCAGCCTGCATTAAGTGCTGTGGATGGAGCTGTGGGCTTTATTCTTGAAGTTAGATCCCAGTGGAAGAGCTGTCAGCTTCAGAAGGCACAAAGCAGAGTTAGAATGTCACATTCCCCTGTGAAGTAGCAACTTGCAAGGTTTGCTTTTATGTCCTGAGTTCTGGGATATCAGCCCAGTGCACCCTGAGGTCTTCAAAACACACTGTTCTGCATTATGATTAGAGAGAAGAACCAAACGTCCACTGACTGATTGTGACCTGTGATGCCACATACTTTTTTTTAGACACTTTAACCAGGTACAAAGAGAAGGAGACTATGAGCTTGGACTTTATGCCAGTTATACTGTTCAGTTTGAAACAAGTCCATCTTTAAGTCATCGTTGTTTGTGGAAGGCATAAAAAGCTGAAGCATGGGAGGGGGAGAGCCTGAGAGATGCCAATTACTATCTGGTGTGGAAATTCATTAGTGCCTGGAACATGTCATGTGCGAACAGGCCTGATCTTATGAATAGTGTAGAGCAGTACTGCCTCCTGTGCTGGGCACCGCATAGGGTCAAACATTATTCCTCCTCATATACAAGTCACCTTGGACCCCTTCTATGCCTGACCTGCTCTGCCCTGCCCTTCCTTCTCTGTGAACACAAAAACAGTGACTGTGCATAAACTTTGGATAGGGCATGCTAGGTGAGCCAGTTCTCCTGAACACTCATGGGAGGGCCCCTCAAGACTGGGGCCTGGATGTGGACAACATTTACAGTAGGCCAGCTCTCACTGTCAGGTAGACCTTTATCTATGCACAAGTTAATTGTCTCCATAAAGTGTCAAGTACGTCTGCAAAGCTCTTTGAAGATACAAAGTGGTATGTGCAAGCTGAGTGTAACTCCTGGTTAAACTTTAAAGCGCTGGCATTTCCAAGACTGCAAGCCCAATACACCTGTTTGAAGGTAAATATAAATATAGCCACAGTCTTCTAAAGAACAAAATGTACTTACCGTACTTCGCAAGCATCAGACAGCTGCACTGCATCCAGCCCTTCTCAGTCTCATCCTCAGCAGCCCCAGCATGGTGCCAGAGAAGTGGGTAAGGCCTAGGTTTTCAAACAAGGCTACTGATTTTTGGGGGGAGTACCCAACTTGAGACATCTTGGGCTTTCAAAGGCACTGAATGCTCACAATTCTAACTGGAATCAAAGAAAGCTCTGTATGCTTTTGGGTTCCTCTGAAAAATCA